AGTCTCCATCCATATATTTATCTTATGCTTATACAGATTAAGATTATTTCTAAATCTTTCCAAAAAACAAAAGTGTTTCAAAGATATTCATTTTTAAATGGACTAAATACATTAAAAACACAATAAAAGCATAAGACATAGTTATGTGAAGTTATTTAATTCTGGAAAATCATATTTGTTGGAAAACCAACAAAAGAGTTTCATTCGCATTAGCTAAATAATATTTTCATCTAAACATTTCATCAACAAATTTTCTTCAATAAGACATAGCCACTGCGTGCCAGCTCCAAATAACAATATTTTAGAACTATATCTCTATCATCTAATAAATAAGCACCATATATTACACAGTTTTTACCTATCATCACCAAAACGGCAAGAACTAAAAACATTGCATGTCTTTTTTGTGTATCACTACTGCTTTTCCATTTTATGGTGTTATATTGTTCATCACTATACAGCTGTAAAATCTTTCTTGGTAAAACATCATCGGTTTAATAAACACAGAAAGAAAACTCAGTTCCAGTGTACTAACACATATTTTTTCTACAGTTTTAAGAACCGGAGACTTATGTATTTGTTTATTAGGAAGGTGTGCTAGAGCGAACTAATGGGTTTGGTTCGTGATATCAAACCTTACGGTTAAAACTGTATATTTGTGATGGGGATACGAATAAATGCTTATCTCGGTGCCTTTCTTTCATTAGGTACTTCTTAATATCAAATCAAACGCTTCTCACTAACAAATGATTTCTATGAAAACATTCATTGAATAATTTTCGTTTTTAGAATATTTCCGAATGTAACGTAATTTTTTACCGTACGCATGAGAAAATAATATGTACCTACAACTTCGAGGTGTTTGGAGGAAAAGTATGAATTGACTTGAAGTTTTTGCTGCTCTGTATTATTTTATTGGTTTTAAAACAAATTTACGATCGCAGCATAGTTGTTAAAGTGATAATGTATTAACGCTCGCAATAAAACGTACCTAATGAAAATTGATCTGTCACTTGACGCCACCATAAACATAACTGTCAGTATTAACGCTATCAAATCGCAATTGATGCTGGCGCTAGCAATTTATATTTAAAAGAAATAACTTCTGTTTATGACCCTATAGAAAATAAAGTATATGTACTATAGGCGCCCAATTCCCTGACGAGTATAAATATTTTGTTTTCATTTTGTATAATTAAATGTTTCTGTCAATAACACAAACAACCACCACGTTTGGTTTTTTCACATAAACGTACAGATCTAACCCGTTTGAATTCAGAAATGTCAGTATGCGGAACTTGTACTTTTAGGTTTTTGAAATGTAAGACAATGTATATACAGCGTGCCCCACTAGTGCGGGAAAGTCCAATATCTATGTTAAAATGAGGAATATATGGATTTTTCTTTTTACTGTGTTGCCACATTTCTCGGAATGTACAAATTAAAAATATATTCAACTATACAGGGTGTTCCACTTTTCCTGGACAGACACCAACTTTGGTTTTTTAAATGGAAACACACATTTTTTATATTTTTTTCGGATTCTACATCAAAAATAAAGGGTACTTTGTGTAGAATAGTTCTATTCAAATATTCACAGTTTTTGAGATATCTCGCTTGAAAGGTTTTTCTAGTCGATATTGGTTGCTTACATTTTCTGATACTGACAGGTTATACTAATAGCTACTAAGCCCATTTTTTTATCAGATGTTTAGTAAGGATGACTCTTCCGAATCATGCTCCAAAAACTGGCCTGCGTTATACAGGGTGACCAAAATATCATGTCAAAATTGCCAATTGAAAAATTGAAAAATCTCGATTTTTTTAAATGCAACGCCCTGTATATTTTCATACCATGAGATGCAGAATTAAATTCTCTACAACTTTGCTATACCTGCTCCTATACCAAAATTCATTAGTTTTTCATGAAATCTCATTTCTATGAAAAAATGCGAAGTTTACAAATAGCTTATATGTAAAATAACGTAGTAGGCTCCTGTCAAATGATAATCTGGAAAATTTTCGATTCACATAAGGTTTAATAGAAAGAAAGGTTTAATAGAAGAAGAGAAGCCCATGGTAACTGTTTATTGGCAAGTCGTATTTACCAAGCTAATAATCCAGATTTACAAAGATATCCTCGTACAAAGTGTTTTGTAAAACTGAAGGAGAGGTTTGAAAGAACGGCAAATGCAAATTATGAGAAGACAACAAGAACACACGCATGTGGTAATCAGGATAGTCAAATTGACATTTTGGAATGTGCAGTCCAAAATCCATCTACAAGTGTCAGAGAAATTAGTGATGAAATTAGTATTTCCAAAAGTGTGGTTAATAGAACGTTAAAGAAAAACAACTTCCACCCCTATCATTCTGAGCATCACCAATTCTTAACACAGCAAGATTTTCAGAAGCGAGTACAGTTTTGTGAGTGGGCAACTATAAAGCTACAACAAGATGAATTTTTTTTTCAAAGGTGTTATTTACTGACGAGTCATCCTTTGCCAATACTGGTCGAGAGAGTCGACATAATTATCACCATTACGCCGATCATAATCCCAGATTAATAAGACAAGACGATCATCAACACCGCTTTAAAGTCAACGTTTGGGCGGGAATATGCGGAGAATATGTCATTGGACCACATTTTCTTGAAGGAAACTTAACTGGTAATGGGTATTTGCAATTTTTACAAAACGACTTGCTCCAATTGCAGGGACATATTCCTCCGGATGACTTAAACAGTCAGTGGTTCCAACATGATGGTGCCCCTGCACATTCCACACTGGCGGTAAGTTTTCTCATTATGTAAGTTATGTAAATTCATAGAAAAACTGTTTCAGGTTAGAGAATACTTAAATGATTTGTATCCAGATAAGTGGATAGGTAGCCAATTCCATGGCCTCCCCGATCCCCAGACCTGTCTTGTCTTGATTTTTTTTATGGGGCTATATAAAAGACAGGGTGTATGAAACTCCTCCGACAGATGTAGAAGATTTACGGGCAAAGATAAGAAATGCTTTTTTGACCGTAACTCCGGAAATGCTGCGAAATGTGTCAAGCAATTTTCGTCGTAGAATTGCTCAATGTCTAGAGAAAAATGGCAGACATTTTGAGCGGTTACCTGTTAATTACTAATTTAACTAGGTCTTTATTACTTTTGTTAGAAATGCACGATGTTAATTTACTGTTTTGGATACTGCATGCGTGTGTTCTTGTTGTCTTCTCATAATTTGCATTTGTTGTTCTTTCAAACCTCTCCTTCAGTTTTACAAAACACTTTGTACGAGGATATCTTTGTAAATCTGGATTATTAGCTTGGTAAATACGACTTGCCAATAAACAGTTACCATGAGTTTTACTAATTATTCTATTATTTATTTACTAATTCTTCTTTAGAGTAATTCATTTCACAATTATTACTGTCGCTTTTCTATTAAACCTTATGTGAATCGAAAATTTTCCAGATTATCCTTTGACAGGAGCCTACTACGTTATTTTACATATAAGCTATTTGTAAACTTCGCATTTTTTCATAGAAATGAGATTTCATGAAAAACTAATGAATTTTGGTATAGGAGCAGGTATAGCAAAGTTGTAGAGAATTTAATTCTGCATCTCATGGTATGAAAATATACAGGGCGTTGCATTTAAAAAAATCGAGATTTTTCAATTTTTCAATTGGCAATTTTGACATGATATTTTGGTCACCCTGTATAACGCAGGCCAGTTTTTGGAGCATGATTCGGAAGAGTCATCCTTACTAAACATCTGATAAAAAAATGGGCTTAGTAGCTATTAGTATAACCTGTCAGTATCAGAAAATGTAAGCAACCAATATCGACTAGAAAAACCTTTCAAGCGAGATATCTCAAAAACTGTGAATATTTGAATAGAACTATTCTACACAAAGTACCCTTTATTTTTGATGTAGAATCCGAAAAAAATATAAAAAATGTGTGTTTCCATTTAAAAAACCAAAGTTGGTCTCTGTCTAGGAAAAGTGGAACACCCTGTATAGTTGAATATATTTTTAATTTGTACATTCTGAGAAATGTGGCAACACAGTAAATAGAAAAATCCATATATTCCTCATTTTAACATAGATATTGGACTTTCCCGCACTAGTGGGACACGCTGTATAAAAAAAATGGGTGCTATTTTGCTGCTGACATGTAGGTTGATATGTTGCTGTACTCTCAAAAAAAGGGAATCTAAATTTTAATTTGAGTTGACTAGGAAGAAAAAAATGAGTAATCATCAAAGAGCTTTCTTTAAAAACAAGGATCCAAATTGGGGGACCCGCTACCAAAATTGATAGCGTTAAAGGGGTTACTACACTACCCCTGTATTTTTTACTTTTCCGATATGACAAGTGAAAAAAAAGTTCCGTTATAACTTGGAAATTGTAATTCTGTAACGCGTACACAGTAAGAAGTTAATAAATTCATTAAAAAAGCTATCATAATTTCGTTAACTCAAAAATTAAAGAAAGTGTGAGCAAAAAATCTAATCCATGATTTTCCTAGTGGTTCCCAGATATTTTTTAAGCAGTCATCTTGTACTTGCCCAAGCTGTCATTGCAGCATGTACGGTTCATCATGAAACACTCTATAATCGGATTAAAATGAAACACTTTTACATGAAATAATTTTTTTTCGGAAGAACACATTTTTTAAAGACCAAAATTGTTTCCGTTCAAAGTACGTATACAAACAAACAACAAATGCTTACATACAATATTAATTAAATCAGTAATCACTATGTGACTGTACCGCCGGATAACAACACCGGGTGGATCCAGACATAGAGACTCCGTCACGTCGGGTCTTCATCCGTTGACACTTAGCTTATCAATTAGCAAAATTTTACAAACAGGTAATATTTTACTTTCTTTGTCCGTATGTACGTTTTAATTGTTTTAAGATATAAACGCATCATATCTCAACAAAATGGACTAGTTTATTTAGGTATTAATAAAGTAAAGATTATTTACTTACATCAAAAAATGTAGACCTCAACGCCCTGTCTGGGTGTTATGCGAATGAAGGAGAGTAGAACATCTTTTCTGAAATAAAAAAAATGTATGTCAGAATCGACTGAAGTTTGATGTTGAGTGTAATTAGTTTTATTTTGTTAAAAATTTTATATAAATATAAATCACCTTTAATCATTTTGCAAAAATACAAAATCTACAAACTATAGTACGATCGTATACGATGCAAAGTAGAGCAAAAAATTGTCGGTCTTTTATCAAAGGAAAATCGTGTCATCATTTTTAGGAGGCGTAAGATGAACCGTTTCAAATTTAAAATGAAATTGAATGTAAAATCTGAAATACCGCCGCATACGCACTGTGTTCTGGTACTAGCTGTAGTCGGCCAGGTGCATCGAGTGTACGAAGTGGTCGGTTATACGTCAAATACTAACCTGGCGAGCTTGATCGTAGAGCAGGGAACAATAAACAGTGGCGCGTACAGAGGTGAAATGTAGTACATATGTGGAATTTAAATAACGAATTGGATTTATAATAAATTACATTTAAAACAAATAGTTTATGAGAATAAAGGGATTTTTGTAGGAACAGGGTTCCAGACGTGAACTGATCCCTTCATCGCACCCCATTACGATTTTTTTTTTTATAAGGAGAACGAAGTTTCAAAGCAAAAACCTTGTATAACAGATATACTATAAATATTTACAGAATGAAAACAAAATATAAATCCTATGATATGATTCTATCAAATGAAAACACTAACAACAATTCTCTACCAATCTCAACAAAATAAGTTATTTTTCTATCAAACAAGAAATGTTAACAAATTATAAACAAAATATAAATTCTATGATTTATGTACTGTACGCCAAACTGCATTTTTCTCATCTTCATTTAATATTAATTTCTTCTTTGCACCCCCTTTTTTAGGTTTCTTAACGTCTCCTTCAATTTTCTTCTCTCTTAAAATTTTGAAAACAGATAATTCGCTTACTCCAGTATATCTAGAACACATTTCCACCAAACCAGTCTTCAGTTTCATGGGATGATCCTTTTCTAAAGGGTTATAGACATTTAATATTATCGTTTTTTCTCTGTAACTTAATATAGATTTTTTTGTACCCACAGCAGTACATCCGGCTCGCGAACATCCAGGCACCGCCTCCATTTATCCATATAACGACAACAGAGCAATAATAATACAAAAAACTTCACTTCACTAGCACAGAAAATATAATAGCATTCACGATTCACAAACAACAGCCCGAAACACACACACAGCACACAAATAAAACACTAAAAACACTTTTGTTACGGAGCACAAGAAATATGATTTCACTCACAAATTCTCAAATAATAGCGCGAAACACACATATAGCCCGAAAGAAATATAATTGCACTTATAACAGTTATAACCTCACAAATATCGCGAGCGAGAAACACGCAGCACCAATACAACCGAAACGAAACTGACCACGCCAGGCCGGCACGCGCGCCGCCGCAAAAAACACAAGACACAAGTCATATGAGGGATAATGAAGGGAGTAATAAATGTATTGTTGTCCTGCCGCCCAATGTGCGAAGGAGATGCCTTTGTTTTTCATTTTGTCCTTCATAAATATATAACTGTTAATCCATAATGCATAAAGAAATTATTCAATTTCCAAAACCCCCTATAAAATGTGTTGCACTGATTCCCTTGACAGGCAATGATTTATTACTTTGCATCGAATACGATCGTACTATAGCTCGCTGCCGATTGAAATCGAGGAAATCTCAGATCTATTCCAGATCTCGATTTCAAATCAGAAATTTTATATTTTCATTTTCGACCATCTCTGTATCTCTACAGCTGAATGGGTTAAAGCGTTGTGAGAAATTCCTCACTCAACGGTTAAAACGAAAAACTGTCCTGGATAAATATCCCGGCATAGAATCGATTGATCAGATCTTCAGTGAATCTGTCAAGATGTGAAGCAACATTATTGTTTTAAATAGTACAGGGCTTTAAATAAAGCCGCGTGATCAGAAATTTTGTTTAAAACACTAATTTTACTTCCTTCACACTTTCAATTCAATTTCGGCAAAATTAAAAATTATTAAAATAGTAAGAAAAGGGATTACATTAAAACACAACATTTTGTTTCACCGGCTGGTGATTGGTGTAACTTTTCACGAGATTTTATTCAACCATTCAGCGATCGCATTATCTCGAGCGTAGACGTACCGGTTTGTCGTTGTTCACTGTAAACAAATCACTAATATTGGTGAAGCTATTTAAGGATTTTTAGTTGTCAGTACCAGCCATGCAATGTTGGTTGTCTAAATTCGGAGGTCACGTGGTTTGTAATCATTTATGAAGGCTCTGCAGTTGCAATTAGAACTACAATTTAAAATGATTTCTGCTTTCTAATAATTTTCAATACATTGCAGTTATTTCTACAAATACGAAAATTATAGAAGGTCATTTTTAAAAATAAAGATCGCAGCTTTGAATATTTTAAACCAACAAATCTTAATGATCTAAAATGACTACATTTCGAGGTTATTAAAATTTAAAAAAATGTATTAAAATTATCTGAAGATGTTTCACATAGACTAATAAAACTTTGTCTAACATATACTTATACGTAATTGAAGGTAAAAATTCTCTGAACTGATTAGCAATATCTAGTGACGTAGACACCAGGAGGCACTGTTGAATATTGAAAATTGCAGCAGCAGTAAATGTTAACGTTAATGAACTTGTGTGCACGTGGAGGGAGCGCCCGGCCCGCGCATACGCGTGAATATCGCTCTTGTCGCGCGCGAGATTTTTTACTCGAACGTTTCAAATTCGGTTCCGTTTCTCTGGATCAATTAGAACCTATATCTACGATATTAACTTCTAAACTTAATGTTTAGTAATTAAACAATTACATTGCAAGAAAACGGACGAAATTAATTAACAAACTGGAGCAACAATTTCACGGTCAATCGAATCGGCGCGGCGTTTGGAACACATGTTGGTCATTGAATTGAATTGGTCTTTTCTATAAATTTCATCTATAAAATTCATCAACATCCATCTCTTTTTGCAAATAATAATACGCAATTTTCGAAAATTGATTTTTCCGCGTTCAACCTTTATTTTACAGTTAACAAATTAGTTAAATATGACTATAGATACCTTAAATTGTAGGTAAAAAGTGAAAAAACACGGAAATTTGCCACTTATTTGCAATTTGCCAACTTAGCGTTACTTTTTTTATATTATCATTCTACATAATTATCCTTCTCCGTCATACAGGGTGAGTTTTTTCTATGTTTAGTGTAGGGAATCTATCTAGGGAAGTAGCAGAGATATAAAAAAACTTAAATGAGGAAAGATGTGCAGTTTTATGATCTATATTAAATGTTACTTTTATTTTTTAAATAAACGTCATGGCTGACTAGATATTTGGAAAAATCCAATCCGAATTCGGCCAATTCTTTCAGATGCGTCTAGCGAGCAACTGAAAAGTCAAAAACCGCTGCAGTTTTCCCATTTTTCAAAATAACAATACCAAATATTATATTGTTGGAAAGCATAAAAAAAACATTTTTTTCTAACTCCTAGCCTAACTATGGTTTACGTTTAAAAAAATTTGAAGTTTATGTTATAACTTGAAAACGAAAGTCTACACGAACAAGTTGATCACGCTATCTTATTAACACTGCAAAAACCTCAAACTTTGTAATTTAAATTTTTTTGGTAAAATAGCAACGTTGCTACACGCATCTGAAGGAATTGGCCAAATTCGGATTTTTCCAAATATCTAGTAAGCCATGACGTTTTTTTCAAAAAATAAAAGTAACATTTAATAAGGATCATAAAACTGCACATCTTTCTTCAGTTAAGCTTTTTTTGCATCTCTGCTACTTTGCCAAATCTCTACATAACATCGAAAAAAAACTCACCCTGTACCTATAAAGTACAATAAAATGCCTACTAATAATTTTTTCAAGTTTTCAGGTTTTATGATCTAATTAGACTGGAACAGAAATAGAACAGTACAATAATGCAATACACAGGAGGAACTTTTGCAGTGTTACAAGTGAATAATAAATGTTCAAATTAACATTCTGGATTTTTTAATTATATGTATAATTGTGTGTAAATTTACACAGTGTGTTTACCAGAAACTCGAAAGGTAAACGTCGAGAAGAAAACCTTATCATTAACTTGTAAATAGTGGCAATACACTGTATGCAATAGTAGGACTACTAACACATGGCTAGGACCGTACTTTTATAAAATTATATAGGTTGTGTGAAATTACCTATTTCTACGAGTTCTCTATTCCGTTAAAAAAATTCCTCATCTTTGAGAACACCGCTTTATAATCGAGATAATCCATGTCCAACTAGATTTTTCAGGAATGATACACAAACAGTATTTAGGTACTTTTAATCGCGATTTCCGGTAATTTGTTTACTGATATGGTTATGGCGACATGACAATAATTATCCTGTTGATACAACGTTAAAACAATAACCAAATTGATCTCAAGGTTCCAATTAAAGTACAAAACGAAACACATGTCACGGGGGAGCTACATACAGGCCTGGGTGAACCTTTTGTAAACCGAATCCAGTTCGAATAAATAGTTTGATTCGGTTTATTGTTTCAATTGTAGTGCGTCAGACAGTTAGGCTACTCTCTTTCTGCGCCGCGTGGGTATTTTTTTTGATAAATATGCACTAAATCAATTTTTATTTGTTTTCACATATGGTACCTTTAAATATTTTGTACTTTTGCAGGATTTGCGTCATTGCACCGATTTCAGAAAACAGTAAATTATCATTTTAAATAAATAGTGAAAATTTGTTTTATTCTACTTAAAACAAATATTGTATGTAAGTACTGAAAGTTATGATCACATTAAAACTGAAACAAATTTGGCTGTAAACAGGAAGATCATAAATCCATTTTCGGAATAAATGAATGTTAAAATAATAGCAAATGAAATAATCGGTAAAAATAAATATATTGAGTTGGAAAAAGTCGATTAACTAAGCAATAATTTGTTGATGATGATGGAAAATGCAAA